GTTTCGTCGTTTCTTGTTTGATGAAGGAAGCCAGGGGAAGAGGTTTCGTCCACACCTTTTGCAGAAATGGATCTTCTAAGGACTGTGTTCCCTTAGGAGTTATGGACAGTCTTGGTGCGTTTATGCTGATCTCTCATACCCAGAGTTAAGGCAGAGAAGGAAGGGGGATGAGTGAAGATGGGAACACCTAAGCTGTGACAAGTGATGGAAAAGATGCTGTGTCTTGGATTTTGTGGACAGAAAGTCTGCTGCCTGAGGCCAGTGTAACCCTAGTCTAATTCAAGGTCACTCATGGCCCACGTGAAGGCTCCATTCTCTTCTAGTCCTCCTCTGTCTCATACCTTGGCACGTCTTCCTCCTTGGTGCTACTGCCCTCTGGATCATGCAGCTTCATGCGACATTGGTGCCATCTGCCAAAGCAGATGAGGGGGAGCTTAATTCAGGCTGTTGTCTCCCTCCTGGACCAGCATGGCTGATGGCATGGGACACAACAAGCTGGAGAAACGTATAGAGAAGGGGGGAGGGAGGAGGCTTTGGGGTGTAGCGTAGCCTTGGATGATTTGGCAAGATTGAGGAGCAACAGAAGCACAGGGCAGTACTGTGTGGGCTGAGCTGCCGGGATTGTGGGATCCTGTGGAAAGCCTATTGATGCTGGGAGTCTGTGACTGCATGTGGGAAAGCCCGGTGTCATGGGGAACTGGAAAGTTCTGCATGGTTTAGCATATGAATTCCCTCTCCTGTGCTGCAGGATGTTGAACACGGGAGCTTACCTGTGCGTTCAGGGATGCTGTGTACCTCAAGGTGTAGTGTAGCAGTGGCAGTGCCGGGGTGAAGGATGAATGAGGGGTGCAGATGCTGGGGATACCATGGTGCCTTGTAGGATGAGAGCTGCAGGAAGCATGGTGAGAGATGCATAGAGGGCTGGGGCTTACATTTGAGGATGTGTCAGTGTGCGGCCTGGCAAAGGTATTGGAAAATTTGATTTAGACGTCACCAAGGAAAAGTGCCCCATGGAGCAATGATCCCAGCTCTGCAGTGTCAGCCTGTACCTGTTGAAGAGAGAGTTGCTGGCAGCCGCATCTTTTGCGTGCTAGATGGGGTTTGAGCTTGAGCACTGACTGCTGGGTGGTGTTTGAGGTGGGGATAAGTTCCCTAATATTAGTAGATTCTGAGAAATTGAGTAATGTCAGATAAAGTGTTACACTCCTTATTGATAGCTCAGCTTTGCTGCTGTGCTCCTGCGAAGAAGCTGTTAATCAAGTGGACTGTGATGTTCTTAAATGGATGTGATGAGGTAGGTTTGAAGTGACAAAGGAAAGAAAATTGATTAGCTTAAGGAAACTGTCTCCTTTCCCATGTGGAATATCCAATAATACAGTTATGCAGTGGTCACTTTCCGCAGGTGCCTTTAAAAGGACAAGTGCGCCACATCTTGCCTGCTTTCGAGCTTATTGAACCTTCTTTTATCTGGCTTAACATTAACTGAATGTTCTTGCCTCTGTGACCAAACTTTGAGTGAACCATGGACAGATTTGGCCGGATGGCTCTGGGGCACATCTGTGTTGTGCTAGTGTTAGGCAACATCAGAATGTGTGCATTCTTCCTAGCTTTGGAACAGATCTTAAAAGCCTTTTATATTACATTTATCTCATTAAAACAGCCTGATAAACATATCAATACAATCTGATGTGGATTGGCTCTCATTGAAAGGGACTGGGCTTGATGACACAGATCAGTCCTATCTTGTTCTTTCTTTAGGTACATTCCTAAGCTTCTTACATCTGTGATGACAGGCAGAAAACATAAGACAGCATGGAGGAAAAGGTGGCAAGGCAGAAAAGGAAAATAAAAAACCTTTTCAGGGAGAGTGAGTGTTCAGCAAAACCATACATGAATGGCACAGGTCAAAGAACAAGGTTGTAACAAAACAAAGTTAATCAAGGATCATTAATTTTGACAGCATTTTTTTTTAAATTCTATTTCTGGCAAAATCAACATTATAACTGGTCTAATTTAAGCTGTTTTTTTTTAACTTAATGGTATTTTACCTGCCAAAATACAAATACATTTTTTTAGAAGGAGATAGCAAGCTAGCATACTAATTTTTAGTTTTAGTACTTTCTGTATTTAAAATATGAATTCCTGAATTTCTTGCAGTCTCAAAGGCTTTCTCAGTTTCAGGATTGAACAGAAGGCATCTGGTGCTTGAGTGAGGCTGTTGGGCCTTGAGGAGTTGAAAGCCTCTGGGTCTAAATGAGGTGCAGCGCTAGCATACAGCTTGATCTTGGGTTCATATGATGGTACGGTGAGCTTCTCAGGGTGAAGACTCAGTGTGTGTGTGTGTGTGTGGGGAAAAATCATTTAGCAATAGCTAACTTTGGCTTCAGGAAGATAAGCCGCTGTTTTTTTGCTGTTCACTAGTTCATCTCAATGTTAGATGGGTGGCTGTTTAACATCGATACTGTCAACTAGATTTGCACTTGAATGTTTAGGAAGGATATCTGAGTGATGCGAGTTCATGGGTTGAAGCTGAAGCTATGACAATCCATAAAGCTCCCCCAACCATGCCAAACTACACACCTCTAGGTACATGCAGATCCGGAATGGAAACAGCAGACTTCAAAATGAAGTACTAGTACTTCTGGTTTTCCAAACAAGATATGAGAGTCCTCCTTAACGGCAGGGTGGGCACCTCTCGGTAGAGTTTCCAAGGAGTTAGTGTGATGGTTTTAGGGTGGTTTTCTTTCAACATAAAATCCTTTAATACAGGCCAAAGTTGCTTGATTTCTACATCTACTCCAGGTTAGGCTGGTATGTGGCAGTTGTGGATGTGCAACCAATACAACTTCTTCTCTTGCAAAGAAGTAGGTTTAGGTCGTTCGGGGGTTGTGTGTATTTTGGTTTTTAAACCTATTGTACTTGGCTGGGGTTTTAATTTGTGGTTGTTTTCCCAGAGGAGAGACCACACTTGGTGAAACTCCTTCAGACTGAGTCATGTATTGCAAGTGTTAGCAGAGCACGTGTGATGGTGACCAATGCCAGATTGTAGATCTTTTTGGAGCAGTCCAGATATTAGTTGTATGGCAACAAGTCTTTGAATTTTTAGTCTATGTTAGTGTGCAGGGTTAATGAGTTTGATGTTGACTGTGTTTATTGCCTAGACGGTTGATATTGAAATAAGGATGTTTAAAAATGGGATAGGTATGTTTTTATGTTTCTATCTTAAGTTCATTTTTGACCTCATCCTTGAGTAAAATAAACTTCTAAGGAGCACTTGAGAACTAGCATGCAGCCAGCATCAGTTGGATGTCAAAAACTGTGGAGTCTACAGCATGCCTTTGTGGTGCATTGTCACAACCAAAGCTCCTCCTGCTGAACCTCCCCTCTTTTCATAGGCTACAACATCCCTTTCTCAGCAGGTAGAACCACCTTGCCAGCTCTCTGTGCTGTCACATTCTCTGCTCCACAGATACCAGCCATTTTCTCTCTCAAGTAGTCCGGCTGTCTAAGCTCTAGCAGTTGTTCTTGGTTCATGTTTTACTTTGGTAGTTGAATGTACCACCCTGAAAACTTGTGTGCTACCTCTAGTTACGCCATTGATCTAATAAAAGCTGCTTGCTCTTCTGTAAGTCTGTCCAAATTTGTGTAACCTTAAAACTTCTGGCCTAGGGTTTGAACCCATTTCAGCTCCACTTGTATGAGTAAAGCTCAAACAGCCAAAGGCCTAAAATATGAAAAGCTTTCTTGCCTGACTGCACAGAAAGCTAGGCCTGGTCATACTTGTTATGGACATCTTAGGGATATGGTTTTTGCTTCTCAAGAATTTGTCAGATCTTAAACAGGTGCATGAGTAATTGGCCTCTAAAGGAAACCAAAATAACTGTCACATCTTATGTCCTAAAACAGCATTTCACGCCTTTCCAGACTCACAGTTCAGTACAGACCTGTAGGGGTTCTTGGTCAGGGACTGCAAAGAGGCACTAGTGGCTGATGGATCTTAGTGTTTAGCAAGTATAACTTAGTTTGCTCGATGTAAACTCAGACCTTAAAATGAAACGTAGTGGGTTTTGAGTGCAGCTTTGTTGCGTTTTGGATTTTAGCACAATTCTTCAGTCTTTCAGAGAGATAAACAAAAAATGTATTTGCTTTCTTGAAAAAAATTAATGGCATGGTAAAGTGATCGTCTGTATTGATTGTGCATGGTGGTTTCTAGACTGGGTCTGTCTGGACTGCTGCACATGCTGCATGTGTAATCCCTCTAAAATAGAGGGACTCATGTTCCTAAATGTGGGATGCCTTTGAGCTTCCAGTGCCTTCACTGGGAACTGCAGATTCCCCCCACTGTGAAAAATCATGGTTTGTATCTTGAAATTATAACAGGTTCAAGGATAAATTTTGAGTATACTTCAGCCTTAGTGACAGAAGAGGAAAGTGAGCTTTTCTTAAGCAAAGAACTAGTGTATTAACCCTGGTTGTGTACCACTGAAAGGCCATGCTTCCTCAGAATGGCCTGTGGATGGTGAAATACCTGAGGAACTGAACAAATAAATCAGTTGGTGTAAGCCACTTGCAGACGATCCATATTAACATGTCAGTTGTTTACAGTAAATGAGATCAAATCGAAATAGCAAGCGCTTGCTAGCTTTTTCAGGTGGTGTAATTTTTGAAATATGTGAATATAAGGTGGTAACACTTACTCATTTTTGTTCTTGTTTTCCACATTTGTATGTGTGTTGTGACCTTGTGCTGAAATAGCTGTAGAAATCACCAAATGCTGTTATAAGAAATTAAACCATTGTATCGAGGATTTTTATTTCACAAAATCTAGGGTATAGAGGTGAGATTTGTCCTGCTTCTTCCAAAGAAAAAATCCGGCCAGCTGAGAGGATCTGTGTTTTCTGGTGCTTAAAACACAAGCCAAGTGCTGTGCTTATTTATGTGATTGTTCTTTCTGATATTTTTGTTGGGTTTTTTTTTACAGCTTTAGGTGAGGATTCAGAATGGGAGACAAGCCTATCTGGGAGCAGATTGGGTCCAGCTTTGTACAACATTACTACCAGCTTTTTGATGCAGACAGGACTCAGTTAGGAGCAATATATGTAAGTATCTGCAAAAAGGGGGCTGGGGCTTTGTCCCATTATCTGTCTAGGTTTCCTTATTTTGATGTATAGGAATACACAGGGTGGGAGAGTGGGTTTTATCCTGACTCCAGAACGTCAGTCAGGGCATCTTTTATTTATTGCATTTCTTTTACATTTCACTTCTATTTTGAGCTTTGTCTGCTGTATCTATTTGCAGTCAGACTTGTAAAAACCCCCGACTGGCTGTAGACAGTGGCTCATAGTGGAGAGGGTGATGATGATACTGTGATGAAATTCTCTGTAAAAGCAAATACACTAGCCTTAGTTTGCCATTGATTTACAGGCGTGGATCCCTGTTGAAGTGGGATGTGATTTAAGTCCTACTCTGTGCTTAGCAGTTCTTGGAGGTGTTTCTTGGATCTCATGCTGTATTAATCCTCAGAACATTAAAATAGATGTAAAATTTTGAATCCGGTTTAAATATTTAGAATTTGTTAAATAAATCTAAATTTGGTTTAAATTTCTTCAAAACTTATGTTTTTATTTTTGCTCCTTATTTGGGGCAAAGTAGATTTGGCTTCCAAAAGTAAAGACTGTAGATAACAAACCCAAAGAACATCAGCTTTTAGTTTTAGGGGAAGACTTCTCCAGAACACGCAAAGTGCTGTGTGTGTGAAGTTGATTACTTGTGGTGAGGAATGCTGCTAGGTGGCTGAGGAGTTTCAGCAAGACACTCAAGTCTTACAAGTCTTCTAGCAGCATATCCTGTTTTTCTGACCTGTTTTTCATCTCCTGGGTGAATTGTATGAAGCTTCACCAAGCTCTGGAGGGTTGAAACTGTTGCATGAGCCCCATCTGACACCCCTCCTTATACCTCCAGCACTCATAGCATTTGCTCTTTGGATTGTTATGTGTTTGCTGTCTGCTAGATTGTTACTTTTTTTTGGCCAAGGAGCTGTGTACAGAGAGCCTATAAAGCAAGAAAAACAAGCAGCTTGTGTTCAATCCACAGCTCTAAATAGGAAGGCACTTAGCAGTTTGTTGTGTTATTGCCAAAACACATTCAATCTTCAGATGACTGGTGATAAGAACAGGCTAATTGAAATTCCTGGAAACATGGCCTTCCACTCAATGAACTCCTGGGCTTTTTTCTACCCTTAGGGTCCTTCTATCTTTTATTGTTCAATGGAGATACCTGTGCAAAGTCAGGAGAACTGTTATGCTGGTCACCTGTGTATTGTTTGGTGGGAGTGCCCTGTTTTGTGTGGCTGAAGTGCACCAAGGTCACAACTTCTCTAAATTAGAGGAGGTTCTGCAGAAATGCGCTTTTACTGATGAGCTTTTTGCCTTCAGAGACCCTGGGGGAGCAAACATTTTATAGCATGCAGGAACGCAGCAGGGAGCTCTTGGATTTGTTTTGCATTCCTGTATCACTACTTCCACAGCAAGGTGCAGTTTTCTCCTTCAGTGGTGTAATCCAAGTCAGTTGGGATTTTGTCGCCTGTTCGGGTGGGGATCTGGGCCAGTCGCTTTTGCTATGAATTGCTCGAGTTCCGTGCATTGGAGCACTAAGTCAAAGACTTGTTTTACAGTTATCCCCCTGCAGTTGTTTTGCAGGAAAAAAGCTGTAGCAGCTTCTTTCCTCTGCTGTGGGTGTGTGGCTACTTACAATGAAATACTTTCTTATTTTTGTGCTGTTTTCTTATCTGTAGGGCTTTTGGGATAGAGGAGCGGTTGCATTTTTTTCTTGAAGCAGTTGCTCCCAGATTGATACAGCAAGTGGCTGTGGAGGTAACCTGTAGCAGAGTCAGGTGTACACTAATTTGGTACAATGTGAAGTTGTAGTGTTTTTCAGGAAGAGCATATTTCCTCACCAACTTAATCTATGTCCTCTGCTGCTCTTTGAAACATCAAGAGAGTTTTGCACCACTGTGTGCTCACCTGCTGGTTGCTGCAGTTGGTTCAGTAAGGCAGGTTCTGGATCTCCTCTGCTTTTGTGCTTCCTGTATTTGAAGGCTGTAGTTTGAATGCTTGAGAGGATAGCCTCATTCCCTGGTGCCATCAGCTGGCTTCTCAAGTGATCACATCAGGGGTTGATGTCATGAAAGATGCAAGTGGTGTCAGCCAGATGACTTGCTGTGTGACTTTAGATTATACAATCTAAGTCTGTTTCCTCTGAAATGAACGTGTCCAAACTCAAGAGGAGGCTGTATTCAGAGGCTCTTCATGCTGCTTTTGGTTCCATCTGTGACCCTGAAATGCTTCGTACTGTTGCCCCTGGTCCCTTTCTTTGTTCTTTTGGCTCTTGCTGCACCGTATAGTTCCTTCTGACGATACAGGGAGGACCAGAAGCTTTTTAAAAGTGGTTGTGACTCTTGTGTAGGTTCAGCACAGCATGCATGGCTGAAAGAAGTGGCTTTTTGATGTGGTATGGGTCAAAAACAGGGCCTGGAAGATCTACCAGAGAGCATACAAATGGTGTTCTTTGGAATCTGCCATTTTCTGCTGAGATATTCAGAGCTTCAGTGAGAGCTGAAGACTGGATGGGAAGGTGCTAGGAATCATGTTCCTGGAGGTATTTAAACTCAGAAAGGTGGAAGGAATAGTCATCTGTTATAGGGTGCACAAGAACTTGGGCTATCGGGTATAGAGTGAGGGTGCTGTTTGGAGATGGCAGCAGGGTAGGCTTTGAGCTCAGTGGAAACCACTTTACATTTAAGTCTGCAAAGGTTGAAAATTGGATTGGGGAAGGCAGAGGTATGTCAACATTAGGATAGTGTGACTCTGGTTTAAACAGAGTATCCTCAGTGGAATAGTAAGTTTCTTGCCTGTTGCTGTTGCTCAGAACACCCTCTGTCAGATACTGGAGGAGCTTGTAGGCCAAAGTACCTCAATCACTTCATGCCACACAGGGCAGTCTGTTAGAAAACCTTTAGAGGCACATTCTGCTTTTCTGGGTGTGAGCAGGGTGTGCAAATGAGTACCTGAGAGGAAAAAAGGCTGGTGATACAACTCATCTTGTCAGATTTCTTCATATGTTTTTGCCTCTCTACACGCTTGAATTTGTGTCCATACGATTTTTTTTTTGGTGTGTCCTTTACAATTTCTTCTGAAAGCTAACTTTGATCCAAAGGCAGGAACTTTTTTGCTGATAGAATCGCAATAATGAAATTTAATCTGTTTAATTTCTAGTTGATTATTCCACACTTTTTCAGTTGCTTTTTGTGGTTTCTTTCCATTTCTCTTTGAGGTAGTTTCCAAATAGCTGGATTCTAAGGATACATGCCAAGTAAACAAAGTCTCTTACCAGGATTGCTTAAGGGTTACCTAAGCAGGTTGATGAATTTTTTTCTTCCCCCCTCAGATTGATGCATCATGCCTTACGTGGGAAGGACAGCAGTTCCAGGGCAAAGCAGCTATTGTTGAAAAACTCTCTGTAAGTCTGTAATCCTTACTAAATGTTTTGGGAAACAGTTTTGAAGAATATAAATTGTTTCTGAAGATTTTATTTCGGCTTCAACACTTTAAAAATCTTGAACATGGAACTTGTGCTTCCAACTTTTGGTCTTCAAAAAATGTTACTTGTGATTTAATTCAGTGTTCCATTGGTGGCTCTAATGGTGGAATGTTAATGGACTCTGTTAGTTTACTAGATTATTTTGTGACTACAATCACATCTGACATTATTGATTTATTTTTAAAAAAGTACAGTTCATAAGCTGACCCCATGATTTAGAGGAGGAAAAGGTGGGTTTGTGTTCTTTTAAAGCATGCCAAGGAAGTAGCAATAGCAAACCTGTTATTTGGATCTGCTTATGGTAGAGAATAAACACATAATTGCGAGGAGTAATTTGTTTTCTGATAGATAAACTGCAAATAAGTCAGGAGAACCTGATTTATCCTCAGTGCAGCATTTGTCAGCTGTTCAAGTGTGAGCAGTTATGGTTCAGGACTTTGGAACCAGTGTTTCCTCTTCATCAAGCGAGAGGAAAGCATTTCCTAATGCATAGAGACTGAAGCTCGCTCTCCATGTTTATTTAGTTAGGCTGGGAGAAGTTTTACCTTTTGGGTAAATCCATACTTCTGTTATAGAACTGCAGGTACTTACAAGCTGTCATGAAACTAGAAAGTTTCTCTTGCAAGATCCGTGGAGGCCATGCTTTAGGTCCTCAGACATTCTGTTCAGAGCATGGTAGATCAGGCAGATAAACAGTTTTTATTACACATTGAGAAGCAAAATCTTTGTAACCTTGATGCTTGTCTTGCTGTACAGCTAGCATTCCTGTGTTTTGCAATCACTGCTTTCACCCAAGACATCTTTAATTGTGAGGCCTGAGGATTGCCCTTGGATCTGCATTTTAGGTGCCTGCATTGCCTTTGAGAAGGCCACAGACCTCAGAATAGCACAACTTGCAACTGCTTGTTTCTAGATGAGGAGACACTCAAGCTCCAGAGTTGCTTGTGTACTCAGTTTAGACTTCTGGGCTAGCAGCCATTTAGATACCCAACCAGCTAAGCATTTGCTTGGCCACAGTGTCTCAGACTGCTTGCCTTGGATCTGGCCCAGTGCAGATCGGTCCCTTTCCCACCAGAGCGTTACTTATCCTTACCTTCCCTGCCTGTGGTGCCAGTTGGACTTTCTGGATTCGTGTGCCTGCTGCAAAGTTTTGCTTGGTGGGTGAAGGCATGCTACTCTGCCTCAGGGAAACTTTTTCTGACTTGTATCCATCTGCTTAAAGTAAGGAAGAAATGCAGTAAACTTATCTTCTATGCCCTTCTGCTACCATGGCTTGTTATAGGGTTGTATCAACTTACTGCGACTCTAGGGTCTTTCAGCATACCTCTGTCAGCACTGAGCTACTTGGGCTCTGTTTGCTGTTTCGACTTAATGTGCTCACCCACTCTGTGCTTCTGGAGCTTCTTAGTCAGTTGAGTGGGTCACTGAAATTCTTTTGTACTTCTGCAGTCTGGTGTTCTTCGGTGCCTGGCTGATGAATCAGTGTAAGCACCAAGAGGCAGGATTTTCTTTTACGGCAGGTTCTCTGCTGTGGGGCAGCAGCGCTATGACACCTTTTCAGCTGACACCTACTCTGTCAGCTGATGCTAATACAGTAGGGCAAGATTGTAAAGACATTGCTTTGCCAGCACTGGTGCACCTGTACCTTGTTACAGAGTGGGAGTTGATGCTTGTTCCTTCTGTCTTAATTGGTGCTGGACTTAGGAATGGTTTCAAATAGAGTGCCTGTCCTAATCAGGGGGCAGCCTGATTTTATGTTGAGCATTTGAGATAGTCAAACCTTCTGGACCATGGAGGGAGCTGGGACAGGTAGCTTTGTTGCCCTGATTCAGTTTAAGCTACTCAACTGTATTCTTGCAGAATTTCTTGTACCTGACTTCAGGCTTTGGGTAGCAAAAGCCCAGCAAGTTTTAGTGTCAGAGGACACCAAAAGCCTTGTGTGGCTTCTCACTTTTAGTTCTTTTTATTGTGCTCTTCATATCAAGAAATGCTCTCCACAGTAGATGGATGTCCATAATCGTAGAATCATAGAATACCTTAAGTTGAAAGGGACCCACAGGGATTGAGTCCAACTCCCTGCTACTCGCAGGACTACCTAAAACTAAATCATATGACTAAGAGCATTGTCCAGATGCTCCTTGAACTCTGACAGGCTTGGTGACAGGAACATCTTCCTGGGGAGCCTGTTCCAGTAAGCAACCATATTTTTTGAGGTATCTTCTGTCTGTCCCAAAAATCAGTGATCTTTTGTATCGGCTGACCCTACTCTTTCTGGTGGGATTTCCCCCACTGCATCATGTGAGTAGCTCACTTGGTTGGCCAACCATTTGGGTCCTTTTCTCTCAAGGGGACAATCAGGTACTTGAGACAGGCACTGTATTACCCAGCCTTGTCTTTGGTTCCTTGTCACCATTTTACAGAGCTCTTGACTCTGAACCCGTTCCTTCCTCCCTGCCTTCTCTTCCCAGTCTCATCTCATTGGCACCTTGTCACACTGAAAGCTGTGTTCTGGATACAACCACATTAATTTCCCTTCTTCCCCCTGCTTTTTAAAGAGACTCTTCTTGCAGGACTTGTTCAACAAGAAGCTGTTGTGCTGAGGTGGGACCAGGCTTTGTAGTACCCTTTTTGTCAAAGGAAGGGTGTGCGATGTCCCAGCCTATGCTTGTGCAGGCTGTGCGGGTGCCTTGAATGTTCAAGTTTGGGATGGTGACCCTGGAAAATATTCTGCTGGTAGTTCAGAAAAGGCTGCTTTGGATTATTTTTTGTTGTTGTTACTAAATGTCTATTCCACGTTAGAAACCAGTTGGCTGACTTTGAAGTTCTTAGTAGGATGGAGTTGTTCTCCCAGCTCAGAGGAGACACTGCAGACTTTATTAGAGTATTCTTGAATAGCGTCCCTCTGATTAGAGGGCTGCTCCATACGCTTTTTGCTTCCCCAGGTCCTGATCCTTCCACAGTTTCTGGTGTTCTCTGTTATCTAAGAGTTTAGCTTCCTGGTATTCTTCCTAGAGCCTTATGCTTGTAGAGCCAAGACTTCACATCCTTGATGGTAGGACTTGGGTATCCTGTTCTTGTACTTAGGCCTTCTAGGAAGTCTTTCAGGCTCCTTCCACCAGAGTGAAATGCAGAACTTGTCAAAATACATGCTTGGGTCTGCCAACCTGTTAACAAATGTGGTGGGTTGACTCTGGCCAGATGCCAGGTGCCCACCAAAGCCACTCTATCACTCTCTCTCCTCAACTGGACAGGAGAGAGGAAAAAAAAATATAACAGGCTTGTGGGGTTGAGATAAGAACAGGGAGATCACTCAACATTTACCATCACAGGCAAAACAGACTCGACTTCAGGCAAATGTAATTTATTACCAATTAACTCAGGAGTAATGAGAAATAAAACCAAATCTTAAAACACCTTCCCCCCCACCCCTCCCGTCTTTCCCGTGCTTAACTTTGATCCCAATTTTTCTCCCTTCTCCCCCTGCCAGCAGTGCAGGGGGAGAAACAGGGAATGGGGGTTGCGGTCAGTTCATCACTCTGTTGTTCCTGCTGTGCCTTCCTCCTCAGAGGGAGGACTCCTCACAC